TAGGGAAAAACTAAAGCACGCCCTTTCATTAAACTAACATTCCAATGTGGGAAGTGTTTTCTTATTAGTCTTCATTGTTAAGAATAGGAACAGGGGATTGGAGAGATGGCTCAGCGGTGAAGAAGACTGGCTGTTCTTGCAGAGGACCCGGGTTCGACTCCCAGCACCCACATGGCAGCTAACAACGGTCTGTAACTCCAGTTCCAGGGGATCTGACACCCTCTTCTGTCCCCTACATGCACTGTACAACATGGGTGCACTTACACACATGCAGACATAACACTCATGCACATAAAAATAAAATTTTCAAAATAGGAAGTCATAGTGACCACAAATATTTTTACGAGTGCCATTAGGTGGCAGCACTGTGCTAAATTGTTACTTTTTCTGACCCACTTTGTAGGTGAGGAACAGACCTGAGTCTCTTGATAACACCTAACCAAAATCCCACAGTTGAGAAGAGCTGAGAGTCGAACCTACCAGCCCTCCTGTCTACTAACCCCTCTGTATTGTAGTGAGAGATTCACAATTACATCAGGGTGTTGCAATGCCCAGAAATGTGTTCTCAAGATCCTCCCCTTACAAGGAGCAGGCTCTTGCTGTCCACTTTTTATTTTAAATGACATCAAAAGTTTGCTCACAGTATTTTTTAAAGTTTCTCTCTTTTTTTTTTTTTCTTTCTGAGACAGGGTCTGACTAGTATGCAGCCCTGGCTGGCCTGGAACTCACTATGTGGACAAGGCTGGCTTTGAACTGTCTCCCACCTCCTGATTGCTCATATTACTATCACCTCATAAAGCACTCTTTAGCACTTAACTGTTAATAATAATGGGTTAATTTTGCATGGTAAGACTCTCAGCTTTCGCCTCAAGAAGCTGATCCAAGAGAAAGTCAAATGAGAACAGGACCTTCTTGTGGTCAAAGTTCATAACAGACCAGGACCAAGTCTGCTGCAATGAGAGGCCCACTGGCCTGGGCATCACACTAACTCTGCCATCCCACTCTCATGTCCTCCCTTCTTGCTGTTTTCCCGTTCCAATTACCTGTCCTCCTATCTGGACCTTTTCTCCTACTGAATTATTTCTTCCCAAATCTGGCTAAACTAAGATACAGAATTGTGTCTGCCTAATTCACGTTAATTTACAATCTGACCTTGAGAGAACATTGGATCAATAAAAGTAGTTTCAAACAACTTGATTCCTCTACCATCTTTCAATGATGACACACAAGAACAGTGTGTATAAAACAAAAGAGAAGGTGCTAGGCATGGTTGCACATGCCTGTAATTCTAGCACATATACACAGGAGGCTGAGGTGGGAGGCTGAGGGTAGACAAGCCCAGGCCAGCCTGGGCGATACACAGAGACTCTATCTCAAAAAGCAGGGAGCTGATCTCTCCTGCCTCTCTCCCACTCCAAAGGCCTGTGATTTCAAATGTCTCAAACATAGAGAATCCGGTCCAGTTTTACATCCGAAGACATTGGTAAAAATACTGCTGGAGGTGAGGAATCTAGAGAAAATATTTACAATTTGCCAAATAAGACCATTAAAGAAAGCAAACCGTCATTATCGTTGCTCTCTGGTAGGGAGAATGAAATACAGATCTTCTCAAAGAATAGTGGAGAATCTTTACAATGAATCGGCCTCTTGCCAAGAAGAAGGGAGGTTAAGGGAGGCTCCAGGACCAGCATCTGAGACAGGAGGCTATGGTGACTGTTGGCCCTGCGCACCTCAGAAGTACACAGGTTGCACACATTCCAAGTTAAGCTTCTCCCCTTGAAGTCATCAGTACTAGGTTATCTTGGGAGCCCTGTCAGGACCCCAACACATCTGAAAGAGCAAGATGAGGGCCCCGCTGACATCTGGAAAAACCAAGGCACAAACCTGCATCTGACTTTGAATTAGCTTCTGAACTTGAAACAAGTAGGTATCGTTACTGGCATTGTTGAAGGACTGGATGAAGAAGTGGAGTGTTGCGTTCATATTTTTCATGCTCATGGACTTCTCCTGGAAGCCTCCCCACCTCTGGAAGGGATCCAGCTTGACCACCATGACTAAGGTCACCAGCAGAAGTAAGAGAATCCTCCAGCCTCTGGTCTCCATCTCCATAGCCTCAGAAGGTACTTATCCACAGCCCCACCAGCATGGAGGTGGCAGGGACAGTTCTCCCACTTTTCCACAGCAGTCTCGCCAGCACAAGCTTTACAGGAGATTTGCCTGCACTGAAACAGAGGTGAGACCCCAAGGTCATTTTTCCAAGGCTCCAAGAAGACTAGCTAGGAAAATCTTCCCAAGGGTGCCCCCCAGCCCACTCCCCAGCAGGGTTCTACCCACTTAAAATGTCCATTCTGTTCTTTAGTAACAGAGACAGGAGGAGTCTCTGCATATCTGCCAAGGTATACAGACCCTTCTCCTTGCCTATACACTTAGCATGGAAGAAATCCCTAGAGCAGACCTTTCAGATACACTAAGAGCTGGTATAGTGGACCAAGGGCACCATGTACGAGAATGGGTGAAGGTTTATGGAGAAGGCAATATTTGAGCTGAGATGTAAAGGATCAGCCACAGGGAACCTGGGGTAGTACATTCCAACCATTTAACCAAGCCACCAGCATTCCCTTTTCCCCTACTCACCTGCTACCTACTTGCCACAGACTTCTCCCTGTGGGTTCCCACTATGCCCACAGGTTCTGGTGCTGTCTTTTACTAGCCGGTTGTGACCCAGCAAAGCTTTGTGAGGTAACCAACCCCAAGCTCCCTATGAATAAGCTTTGAGCCTTATTCAGAAATTAACCTTCGACCCCAGCAAGGAAAGTGTCACCTGTACCTAGAAGCTCACTAAAGAACCCTATCTTAACAGCATTTCTTGCTCCAGGAAAAGAATAATAAGATAATCAAAGAAATCTGGAGCTATGGAGATGACTCAGTGGATAAAGTGTTTGCTGTGCAAACACAAACACCTGAGTTTGGAGCTCCAGCATCCACGTAAAAGCCAGACTTGGAAGTGAATGTCTGTAACCCTGTGCTTGGGGGCAAAAATAGGTGGATCCCAGGGTTTCACTGGCCAACCAGTGTAGCCAAAATGGCAAGCTCCAGATTTAGTGCCTGTGGTGGTTTGAATGAAAATGGCCCCCATAGGCTCCAAGTATTTTTGTCCCCAGTTGGTGGCACTGTTTGGGGAGGTCTTAGAAGGTGTGGCTTTCCTGGATGAAGCACCTCACTGGGGGCGGGCTTAGAGAGTTCTTAAGCCTTACTGGATCTCCAGTCACTCTCTTGCTTCCTGTGCCTGCTTGAATATGTAGAGCCTAGCTTCTGCTCTTCCTCCAGCCACCTCTGCCACCATGCCTCCCCACCATGACGGACTGTAATTCCCCTGGAACCTTAAGCTTAAATAAACTCTTCCTTTTAAAAATTGCTTTGATCAGTGTTTCCTATCACAGCAACAGAAAAGGAATGAACACAGTGAGAGACTCTGTCTCAAAAAATAAGATGGAGAGCAGTACAGGAAGACATCTCAGCATTTCGGTGTCAACCGCGGGCCTCCATGCACACCTGCACCAATGAGCGCGTGCAGCGCGCACACACACACACACACACACACACACACACACACACACACACGAGAAATCTGAATGTCCAGTAGTAATTGAATTGTGAAAATGTCAACTTTGTTGTAGTTTCACCATTGTACTGTGATTAGAAGATGTTAACATTTGGGGAGGTGAAAGACATAGGGAAAGATTTTGTAATGTTTTTTGCAAGCTTTCTGTGAGTCTGAGATTATTCCAAAATGAAGTTAAAATTTCCCAGACTAACTAAATATTGATCTGTGGGAAGTTAGCATGTTATGGCAGTCAAAACACTTGTCTTATAATCCAGCTGTCCTCTGGGGATTCTGAGAGCATTGATCTGCCTGCGCCTAGATTTGTTTGCCTCCCTAAAATATGAAAATGGAGAAAAATGCTCATGATATCCAAATAGATGGAGGCAAAGAACCTGCTCCTACATCAGGCATTGGTAATTTCTCAGAAACATCTATGTGATTCTTCCCTGACTTTAATTCGTATGCTGGAGTCATGGTCTGTTGAGCCCCTAGCCCTAGACTTACCCACCTCCATTGTGACAATGTACAATCCTGCTAGGACATATCACAGTACCTATACTGTACTCCGTAGGGTTCTAGGACCTGTCCATCTGGCAGTGGTGGCAGCTTTGGAATCAGGAGTTGGATCAGCAGAGTCACTTCAGAGTAGATGCGGAAGAATTCCAAGTAACATGTGAGACTTCTGAGACATAGACCACCTCAGCATGCCCTGAACATCTAGGATACATCTTGAGATTGTGGACCTCACAGGGGACAACTAGAATTCAATAAGACATACTAGAAAACACATGAACGCAGGGCTAAAAGCATACAAAATCATTCTGCTTAGGAGATACCCGGGCTAGTTATATCCATAAAGATGATAATAACAGGACACTAGTAATTGCTATGGAAGAAGAAAACAAAGACCTTGTACAGATCCACATCTGGTATTCTTTGGCTTATGGTAACAGATCTTTGATGTCTACCATCTGTTTGTGTTCATGTATGTGGGTGTGTTTATATGTATGCAGGTGCACATGTGTGTATGTGGAGGCCAGAGGACAATGCTGGAGTCACTCCTCAAGAGTTGTCTCCCTTGTTTTAGTGTTTGTTTTGAGACAGGATCTCTCATTGGCCTGAAGCAGGATGGTTTAGCCTAGGCTGGCTGGCCAGTGAACCCCAAGGACCTTCCTACCTCTTCCTTCTCAGCTCTGGGATAGCAAGTGTACTCCGCCATGCCCAGCTTCTCTACATGGGTGCCAGGGATGGAACCCAGATCCTGTGCTTGCAAGACAAGCACTTTACTGACAGAGAAATCTCCCTAGCCTACCTTGATGTCTGCCTCATGGTGAGGACGGAGGCAGAGATTGGGGACCAAACAAACCATCAGAAGTTACGTAAAGATCCTTCCTTATCTTTTCCTATGGACATTGAATAAGGATTTCAGGAAGACCCATGGTTTTAGGGGGAAACAAGGAATTTTGTTAAAGGCATAGAATAAAGGAAAAATGGCTGACCTAGTTATATCCATGGACTAAAGGGTAATAGGCAGCAATTTAATGTCCAAAAGCTAAGGGATTTAGAGTGCTGTCATGTCTATAAATATGTGAAAAACAGAAGTATCGTTATATTTGTGGAATAAAGAAAAATGAGGGAACCTAGGCATAATTGTGAATAGGAGAAATATGGTGACAATTAGGAAACTGGCCATATCTATGAATTAAGAAAATGTGGAGCCTGTTGAAAACCAACACAATTAGAATGGAAGCAGAAAGTAGGAGACCTGGTCACATTCCTGGAAAAAAGGCAAAGAAAGGACCTGCTTTCACATAACTGGGAAACTGGATTCCTAATTACAGCCATGAAATAAGAGCATGATGCCGGCATGGTTACAACCAGAAATGAGAAGAGACATTCAGATTGGTCATGTCCAAGCAACAGAGGAGACTGAGGGTGTGCATGGAATAGCAAGAAGCTAAGAGCTTGGGCATGCCCAACAGTAAGGGGAAAATAAGGTTCTGTTCATATCATGAAAATGGAGCTCTAGTGTCATGTTGTATTATAGACTATGGGGAAGACAGAGCCTTGGTTACCATCACGGAGTAAGGGTAACTTAGAGGGGGCTTGTTAGGTCCATAGGAAAGGAGAAACATGTACCTTGGCTGTGTCCCTGTAAGAAGGCAATTATGGGGATCCTGGTCATCCACAGGACATGAAAAAAATCCTAGCTAGGTACATGGGCTAGAGGAAGACCTGACTGGATAATGCATGAACAGGAAACTATTAAACCTGACAATGTCTATGAAATAGGGATAAATATGAGGACTGACTGTTCTATGGAAATAAAAGCTTTAGATGTCTAGAAATAAGAGGAAAGTTGGAAACATGCTACATACATGGAATAAGGGGAAAACAGTTTCTTTGGTCATGTTAATGGAAGAAGAAAATTAAGATGTTATAAAATAATGGGAGGACAAAACAAAAGTAATTTATAATAGTAATAACAAATGTTATATTCAAATTAAATAATAAGGAAAAAAGGGGAGGCCCTGATCAAGTCCAAGAAAGAAACTGGAACCTGGCTAAGCCCATGGAATGAAGAGGAAATAGGGCCTTGAATATATCTTTTAGTAAAGGAAAATGGGTGCCTTGATCATGTCTGTTGGGCATGTCCACAGGGGAAAGTAGGGTCTCTGGACATTTCCACTAAACAGGGCAATAAAGGGAACTTCATAATGTCCACGGAATAACAAATCGAAGGCCGTTATAGTTTCATTTCTTAATTATTGATTTGATGGGAAAAAATACTCTGACAAAAAGTAACTTAGGGCAGAAAGTTTATTTCCACTCACAACTCCAGGTTACAGTCCATGACAGCAGAGAAGTCAAGATGGGGGAACTTAAAACAGCTAGTCACATCACATCCACAGTCAAGAGCAGAGAGAAATGGATGTGTGCGTGTCTAATTGCTTGCTTGTGCTCAGATCTATTTCTCTACTCTTATACAGTTCTGGACTCTTGCCTAGGAAATGGTGCCACCCACATTGGGTTGGGTCTTCCCACATCAATTAATAGTCAAGACAATTCCACACTTACATGCCCACAAACCAACCTGATGTAGGCAATCCCTCACCAATTCTCTCTTCCCAGGCTGTGTCAAGTTGGCAATGACAGCTAATCATCACAAAGTGCATAGCCTTGTCACATCCACAAAACAAGAGGAACATGCAAAACTTCATTACTTGGTTACTGGTCACAGAACAGCAGGAAAGTGCAGGAAAGTTTTCCCACAGAATAAAGGTAGGCTGAATATGCTATTTTTGTTCCTGGGGGAAAATTGAAACATTCTTGTCAATAAAAATGAAAAAATATAAACCCTGGAGTAGAACACAGAACAGTAGAAAATGTGTGGTCTGACTGTGCATGAACTAAGGAGGGGCCAGCAGGAAAGAATTGCCAAGGAGAAGCGACACTTCAAGTTATGGATGTGTTCATTTTATGGGTTGTGGTGATGATTCTGCAAGTGCACACAAGGGTTAAACTTGAAACTGTACACTTTAAATATGTGCAATTTATTATTTGTTAACTCTACCTTAATAATGTGATTTAGATGGATGGATAGATGGATGAACAGAC